GGCAAATAAAAAAAATATATCTCGAATTGTACACCTCCTTTGGTTTCTATGAAATTAATTAAAAATAACGTAATGTGAAAAATGTGCAGGTGTTTCTTAACACAAACAGTGTAGTGCACACTATCCATCGCGTCACAACCAATATTATATACCTCTGAGGCCTACCACTTCACAACTATTGACTAGTAGGAAATGGGATTTATTTCAGAGGCCATAAACACAACACAATATTTCAATACAATTTACATCAGTATGTTTATATTGCAGTCCAGTATTTTGTCTATGAACTAATTATCCTTGTATGAGAGATGCATATGTGTGTTTTTCTATATACAATATACATTGCAGAACATTGTTACGTATTGTAAAATCAATTAATAATTTACCATTTAAACATAGCAAGGTTGTCTTTATCATGTTTTATTTATAATAGGTTTTTTAAAGAAAATTTAGTGTATACTAGCTGATCCGGCAAACGTCGTTATCCCATGTATATCATTTATAATAAAAAATAGGGGTTGATCGTAGAGGGGTGAAAATTAGGGGGTTGTATGTATTTTTTAATGGTGTATCATAAAAAAATTAAAATTTATCTAAAAATAAAATAAAAAATTAATTTAGGGGTGGACTACCATTAACATTTAGGGGGATGAAAAATAGATGTCGTCCGATTCTCAGACATACCCAATATGCACACAAAATTTCATGAGAATCGGTCAAGCCGTTACGGAGGAGTTCAACTACAAACACCGCGACACGAGAATTTTATATATTAGATAATTTATGTCTTGTATGAAGATATATTATATATTAACAATAGGAAAACTTTATACCTTTCAGCAAGCTGACTCTAGTCGGTGGCTGAGCCAAACCGAGCAGTACAGCCAAACGCTGAGCCTTCTCAACAGGGCTCTTATCAGTTTCAACAAATCGATCAAACTCTGGATGTAGAGATGGTAGTGGCACTGATAATACCGCCACTAATACTCGGCAAGCCATTCTAAAAAAACGTTAAATTTGTTTTAATCCTATAATACACCACAAAGATGATCAATATACCCAGAAATATAAATGAGCTAGTTTATATATTTTTTATGCCATTCTTTGGAGCTATCTCAGCCATTTATTTTTATATATTGTTCAATAAATAGATGTAGACAATAAACCGCTTCCAAATTCTTAGCAGACTTAAATGGTACCTGGTATTATTAGAAAAGTGTAATCATTTTATCCACAACTTTTATTAAAATACAATCTAGAGAACAGCACCATTCTTATAATTGTTAACAAAGATTAAATTTATTATTTATTATGGTGTAAATATTTGTTCAGGAATTAATTAACTCAGACAATGCATAGCATACTGCCTGTCGCGTCATACCCGCTATTATCTACCTCTGAGGCCTACCACTTCACAACTATTTATTAGTCAGAAATGGGATTTATTTCAGAGGCTCATGACAAGAGTATACTTAATATTTTGACCTTTGTAAAAACTGGACAAACACTTACTTTTGCAACTCCTCCTGGGTTATGTTCTTCTTCATCTCCCTTGACAGTTGAAAGAGTTTCAATAGTGCTGCTGCATGGAAAAGACAGTGTCCGGCCTTCCAGAATACTAGAGCTAGCTTGCCATAGTAGTTAGCCATTGTTTTAGCTACAGGTGTCTTCTTTGACATGTTCATCAAGTTGTGGATATCTTCTATTGCTTTGTAGGCTTCCTAATTGGAAAATCAGATCACTTATAAAGCAGGTTTGCTCAATTTATTCTTACTATTTAAACCTTAATTATAAAAAAAATTTAAGCTTTTAAATTTTTAAACAATTGTCTACTAAATACTACTTAATTATTATTATCTTCACCTCCATGATGTTTTCTTAAGAATTATTTAAAAATACTACAAACCTGCCACAACTCCATCTGAATTGCACTGTCCAGTTGGAACAGACGGGTCTCAAGATTCAATTGCTGGGTTTCTGGCTTAGAAATGCTAACATTGCCAGTTTGCACCTGTAAACAAAAACATATTGAAATAAATAAACAATATAACAAAATTTGAAATAAATCTTTTCTTTAAGCTAAATAAAATAGATTTTTATGAAATTTTTTTCATCTGTACAGGCATAAATTAACACAATCAGTGCATTGATCACTGTTTGTCGCGTCATACCCTATTTAATTTCCCTCTGAGGCCTACCACTTCACAACTATTTATTAGTCAGAAATGGGATTTATTTCAGAGGCATGTCGAAAAATAAATTTATTTAAAATAGCGTTAAATCTTACATTGGGTTTGCAGATATCCTCCAGGTGCTTTCGTAACTTATCACAAAGTTTTCTGAACTCTGTTTTACGAGAGTATTTTAAGCAGAACTGAAATGCCATACGGGCAATATCATGGTACAGAGTCTCGACATGTGCATTAGTACGAAGGAGTTCAAGACACTGGCAATAAGACTCCCATAAAAATTTCACCTGGAAAAAGAAATAATGATGTCACAAGTAACACATATCAAACTACTTATAACACCTTGTAAGAAAGGTAATATATATATAGCATGTTTGACTGGTGGTCTATACAAGCTCTGTAAAACAAATCAATATTAAAGTATAAAACGATAATTAAAGATATATTTTGTGCAGGTATATATTAACACCAACAATGAAATGTACAGTGTTTGTGGTAACAAACCAACTTTATTATCTACCTCTGAGGCCTACCACTTCACAACTATAAAAGAAAGAAATGGGATTTATTTCAGAGGCTTATTCAATTTACCAAATAAAATAAAATTAATCCAATAATAAACCATAAATATTACAGAGTCAAGCCTGTAGTACTACTAACCCATGGAGTCAGTATAGTTCTATCGGAACGATCCTGGGCATCTTCTCCTGAAACAGCACTGAGTAGTATACTTTCAGGTGTAGCCAGATTGTCAAGGTCATCAGTATCGATAACAGCTTGAGTTGACTGCTGACGGGCAGCTTCTGTTCTCTCCTCTGCCATACGCAAATAACCTCTGTAAAATAAGTTGCCTTTATATTTTAAAAGTAAATAAAATTGTCTCCATATTATATCACTATCAAATTTAGGCTAATCAAGATGTATAAACTCTTAACAGCTAGTAGCTAAATCAAAATTACAAGTAAGAAAGCAATATGTCCTTTTTTATCACAAAAACAAACTGTCAAGAAATATACATATTACAGTGGTACCTTGACATACAAGTTTTATTTCTTCTGTAACCTTGTGTGTCAAAATTCTCATATCTCAAAACAATTTTCCCCTTTGAAATGAATAATTCCATTCCAGCACCAAAAACACCACCTCACTTGTTTTTGCTATGTATTTTTGAATAAAAAATTAATTGCGTGAAATCAATTATTTTTCAATAAACATCATCTTCAGACCCAAAAAATAAATGTGATAATGATTTGTAAATGAGAGAAACAAGCAAACACACTGAGGTCTAGTCTGAGGTTGGAGAAATTAGTGTAGGGCACCAGTATATAGAGGTGCGTGCCACTGTACTAATATATATTTAGTCATTATTATTTATTGTTGCTAACGCAATTACCTTATCACTTGCTCTAAAGATCCAACATTCACAGATTGAAACATATTACGATACTGGAAAAGACCTTCCTTAGCTATATGTGACTTGCGAAGATCTACACATAGTTCTAGATATTTGAACATGATCGGCTCTAACACCGATTCTGACCAATTGTAGGCCCATTTCTTGTTCCTAAACACCTCTTGTAAGGTGTCCAAAGCCCTGGAGGGCTTATCCAAGTCCATAAATTCTGAAATTAAACGGCTTGATGTAACCTAGACGGCATTTTGGTTATATATTTGAGCGACGACAAATCACAACATAATATATGTCAATACCAACTTTCTTTCAGAATAGTAATTACATAAAATTAAGAATTAGGATCAGGGGAGAAAATAAAGCTATATATTACGAAACAGAGGTCATTTAATATTCATGCAACGTGGTAAGATAACAAAAACTACATACCATTTGCCCGTTTAAGGGCATTCTCTGGTCTTTGACCATATCTCGCCATTGTGTATTTGCACTAATCACTTCATTAACAGGATTAGTACATGAAAATCTGTTTTTATGGAATAATAAAAATTATTCCTCTCACCACCGGTCTGTCACTACTCACTATGAAGCAGACCAAAATGGCCGACAACGACGTGGTGTGTTTTGTGCTACCAACTCGAAAAAATATTTTACCCGATCTGTGACATCAAAAGCAACTAAAATCGCCAAATTAAAAAAATTATTACAAAATATATTACGTATTTAAATAAAATATATTATTAATAATCTTAAGAAACCAAAATAATGTACGTAAAATCGTTTTTAAATATTTTAAAGAATGATTTAAACGATTAAATTAAGCGCCATTAAAGAAACAAAGCTAAAAGGTATCCATTTCGTTTAATTATATTAAAAATTAATACTACACATTATACTTTTTTTAATTAGCTTTATCAAACAATCGATTCTCTAACATTGCAAAATATCCATAACTCCAACTTAACCCAGGCAAATTCATGACTGCATTTGTGTCTTATTAAAGTTTAATGTTTAATTAAAGAGTTAAACTACGTGACAAAAATATAAAAAGTAGTTGAGAATACCTGGAAATATCTCGTATCTTACCTGTGTATGCCTGCCTATATTTAGTGGGAATCTCCTTACGTTGGGAACCCTGACTCTTTTTAGTAAAACCTTTGCATTGGAATTTGGAGTACATACTACATATTTTGTATAGTATAGTTGGAAGATAAACTAACTGACATTTATTAATTTATGACAATTAACATCTTTCGTAAAATTTTATCCTGAGTGACAAGCTTATTTGATGTTTTGTTTTATTTATAATTTTAACTTTTTTCTAGTTTTATCTCATCAAGAGACAAGATATGAGGCAGTTTAAAAGTTAAACCAATATTAATAACAGTCTTTTAAATACAATGAAGATCAAAGTAGACCTCTTTCACACTCCTTTTCTCATTATTTATGTTACCGAAGAATGTGTTAGTTTCTCTGAAGAAATTAATTATTTAAGGTTATTAAGTTCCTTTGGCGATTTAAGGATTGCAAAAAAAATCAATACAGAAGACAGAAAAGGACGTCGTAAAAGTTTGAAGTTTATCTTAAGTGCTTTATACCTACAACCCTTTATGAAAATATGTGCAAATTCTACACTTTTTAGGAGAAATATCAATATTTTATACGAACTTAGTGGTAACAAGAGTGAGACAAGTTTTTTAAAATTAATATTAGAACCACCTGATAAAGAAATTCTAGACTATGCTTGGTAAGATTAGTTACATTTGTACTTTGCATTTTCTAATTATTCTTTCTACACTAACATATTTATATATTTACTCTGCTTGTTTCAGGAATGAAAGAGTTTCGTATTTAGTATGGAGTAAAATTGAAATAGAAAATGCATTTGCATGGCTATCTACTTTAGGAGGAGCATATTCTGCATTAGGTGACTACTTTGAGCACTGTGTAAGTAAAAAAAAATCCTATGTATCCTCATCCAAACACTATTATAATTTTTGTTGTATCATATTTGTGCAGCCTTGTAGCATGTCTGCACAAATCATGAAAACTATTAAGAATTATTTTTAATAGTGTATAAAATTTAGATAATATTTTCCTTTTCAGGCTGAAGAAGCAGGCAGAATTTCTGTTAGACAATATAGACTATCACAAATGCTTGGAGATGAAAGCCTTGCTGCTCGAAGTAAACTATATTCAGCGCTGGCATTTGCACAAACGGGCAACTTGAAGTTATCAAGACAAATTGTTAGAAAAGTTGCAGAATTTGCTAGATCTACTAACGATAAGCGTCTCAATAGGATGTGCCAGGGTGTTTGGGCTAAATTGAAGTATCTACGGCAATTAAGTCAGGGTAATGTAAGGGCAAAGGTGTAAATAAATTATTTATTTTTTATTGTTAAATGTTCATTTTTTATGCGTATGCATCCTGTAAGTTTATTCGTAGTAGTAGTATCATTTATATATTTGCTATAACTTGACTGTTATTAAATAACTATGAAAAATACTAATATATTCAAAAAAGTCACAAAATGCGATCCATTTTCAAAAAATCCAAAAGAAGTTTAATCTTTTTATTGTTATATATATATGTCGCCGCGAACTAGCTTAATGAGCTGTTCAATTAACAGCCTAGCCTTTAACTAGCGGCCTGAAACATATTCCGTAGCGTAGCCGTAGCCTTTGTAACAACATTTATTAAACTGACTGGCTAATGCTTAGGCCATTTGTATGATCATGTGACAGAAATAAAAAAAGCTGAAATATCTGACATAAGAAATTCTTTATTTGATATATTTAAAATTAAATACTTCTATTCTTACGCTTACTCTTAGTGAACTACACTCTTCCATACTATTTTTCATTAAACTTTGGAAAACATCATCAAATTTCTTGTTTGCCGACGCTTTATTGCCAGTTTGGAGTAGGTGGCAGAAAGTGGAACTAAATTGAAATGAACTGGATAGGCAAGTAATCTAACGTCATTGATTCAAGTAATTTGCCTAGCTGTTTGATCAACTGGCTGAATATCTTTCATGCTGCTAGTGAAACAGCTCTGTTTAGTTAAAAGGCTAGGCTGTTAATTGAATGGCTAGTTAAGCTAGTTGGCTGCGACATATACAACAATAATCGATATTTTAGCAAAACGAACGTATGAATTAACAATCACGTTCGGACATACGTGAGCGTCATTTAAACATGGCGGAACTAGGAAGTTGAGGTGTTACGGAAAACTGTGTTCCTGAGGCCGAGAGTTCTTTAAATGAGAGTCTCAAATTTAACTCAAACCATAATACAAACTTAAGACAAAGAGATCTATTTCCACAAACCTTTATATTATTTTAGTCATCCCCTGCTAAAAACATATTTTTTGATTGCGATGATAAATCCTGAAAATGCGAAGTAAACTCGTTTTATGAATGCTGATTAACTTGTCTAATCTATGGTTTAGCTATGTATATGTATGTATCAGAATTTTAATATTGTTAAATGAAGTGTAATTTAAATATCGTACCTCATATAAATTAAAACACTTAGAAAATTGTTAATCCGTTATAGGCGCGTTTATTCGAAATCTCGATACTTCAGTTACATTGTTTATAAATGATCGGAAATAATGAGAGAATGTAAACATCCAGAACAATGGGTGAAATACCTTGTATAGTTTATCTTCACACTGAAAATTAATATAATATTATTATTCAGGGAAATAAAACCTTTATAATAGATGCTATGTAAACGTGTTTGAATCTATAGTGAGAATTGTTAGCTTCATAATGTGCTAGAAATTCATGAAAATCGGAATGTATTTGTTTGTAATAGAGCCATTTTTTAAGAAGTTTGATTCGGCAGTTTAATTGTTAATAACTGAAACTGCTGAACCGAATGTCATATTAAGACAGACCGAGAAAAGGAATAAGTTTATTCTAAATCCACGTGAATAAAGGCAACGGCCGCCGGAAAAAATATAATTTAACAGTTTCTTTATAGACTAGAATCGTAGCATAGCAGGCACCTGTCTATTCAAGGACATCTTGTTTATTCCCTTTGTTTGTACATCTAGTTTATACCTTCAAATTAATATACAGTTACTCCTGCGACTGTCTTGGTGCCTATGTTTTACGAATCCATAATTCAATATCATATACCTAACTTTTATAGAAGCTAGATATTTATTTAATTTTCAACACATAAAATCCTGTTTTATAATAAAATATAGTTCCTGTTTTATAATAAAATATAACTATTATTAGAAGATATATTATGTATTAGTTCCAATGAGACGTCAGCAGAAAAAAAGTAACAAGAATTTAAGAGATAAAACGGGGTTTGCTGACGTTACATATTAAACATAATAAACTAAAATAGAAATGGGCTGGACATACCATAAGAGGAGCAGATAAATGGAGCGAAATTGTAGCATTATGGTACCCAAGAGGCCATAAAAGAAACAGAGGTAGGCAATTTTAAAGGTGGGCCGATGAAATCATGGAAATGGTTGCAAAGACGAAGACCTGGACGAGACTGGCATACAATACGGAAAAATGAAGGACAATGGGGGAGGCCTTGGCCCGTAGGCACACAGAATCGGTCATCGTAGATTAAGAAAAACAATAGCTATAATATTTTGTATTCTGATATAAGGCTATAGATAAATAAATAAAAGTTCCAATGAGAATCTGTTTAAAATATCCTGAACAATACATTGAGAACTTAGTAAATTCGATACTTGCATTCCATAGAATTGCCTCTTGAGTGTAATGAGGGAAATGTTTTTTTTTTTTTTTTCAACCCATTTTTAATACTGCATGTTTAACTTGCTTAACTTTACCCAAGACATAGATCCAACATATGTATAAACTGGTTGAGTATTTAATATTTCAAGATTCGTAAAGTACTTATTTCATCTATCGAAAACTTTGTTAGTGATAACTATTTAAATACTAACCTTTTGCTCCTTTTGGGAAAGCAAAAGTGAAAGGCGAAATCCATATTTATGAAACTCGTTCATGCAAAGCCACGGCAAAGGTTTACGCTGCCTTGGAAAATAAATCTATTGCCCTAGATTTTATAATTGTTATATTATCAGCATAACCTACGCAATGCAAAACCCCATGATGTTGGAGAGACAGTTTCAAAAACGCGGTCGTTTGAGAAAGTGTTATTTACATTTATATTTTTTCACCAGTTGATTGGTGACCGTCGAAGTGGTGAGACGTGTTCGCCGTCAAATAAGAACCAGTTCCGTGTTGTGATTAAGTTGAATTCCTAAAAAGAAAGTGGTGTGGCAATTTTTATGATAGTGGATACTAGAAAGCCTAAATATGAAAGTAAGTTTTTTGTATTATTATTTCTTTATCAGAAGTGCATTGACTTATTTCGTGGCATTGAAATAAATTGGTTTTTAGCAAAGTAGAACTTGTTTCGTTAAGTAGAATAGATTAATGTGTTAATTAACAAATGGTTTTGGCGAAAACATCTATATTAAGCCTATATATTACCTGTTATAATGGGTATAAAAGTTATTTGAAAATTTACCGATCCTTCTGGAAGTATTGTACGTTACAAGGGTATGTAAGAACCTCTTTAAGGGTCTTGGCCTAAGATGTCTACATCTGTAATTGATCATTGTTCTGTCTAGGCTCTATAAATGTGCCTATTATCGAAGTTTTGGTATTAGACTTATCGGTTTCCGTTTGTTTTCCTTTACCAAACTACAATTGGATCACTGTTGGGATTCGAACCTACGACTTTAGAGATGAGAGCGAGCACCCACTAGGCTAACCCTGCTTTAAAAGATTCATACGGATAATATGATGCATTTTTAATTGCCATTGAGTTTATCTTACGAAATTACTAAAGACATATCATTTAATATCATGAGCAACACTAAACATGTGATCTTTTTTCAATATGTGACAAAATAAATCGTTTACTAAGCTAAAGCATCCTATAACTAGCAAAACATGATTACTATGACACGATTTTTAAATTACAGACAAAACCTATATCGTGCTCGCAATAGCCTTATACAAATGTCGATCTCACACTTCCAACTTCGAATAGATACTAACAACTAAATTTTCTATTAACCTATTTTACTCAAACATGTTATATATAGACTGCAGTGTAACTGAAATGCACATTATACGTATTCGAGCTTATTTCCTAATTTCGAATTGTAGAGTTCTAAAAGAAAGACTAAACATCAGTGGCATAACAATAGGGTGGCAGGGCTGGCAAAATGCCACGGGCCCCCGACCCAAGAGGGCAGGGGACCTTGGATATTGTCTTCTATGGAAGACAGTGAAGTCTCCAATACGCACTGGGCTAGCGTGGGGATTACAGACCATTCCCTCTCGCCTAAGAGAGGAAGCCTATGGCCATTACTGGGCCATATACAACGTGTAATTGAGTACTCTGAAAAGCTCAAAGTTTAATAAAAATAAACAGTACAACGTGACGATTTTTACTAATAGGGCTCCATCAAAGGAATTTGCCACGGGCCCCAGATGGTATAGTTACGCTACTGCTAAACATGCTTCTAGGGATAAGATTTAGAAACGAGACTATATCTATGAATCCAATGCGTTTTTATATACCTATGGAAGTCGTACTTAGCGCTAGGTTTTGTTTCTGAAGGATAATAAGAATAGGATAAGAATTATTAGTAAGTTTTTCTTTTTTTCACCATGCGAATTAAGACTTTCATAAATGCAAAGTTTTATTAAGGAATTAATTAGAAACCGTCGTATCGTTTACAAGTCGTTAAAGGCGTAATACCATAACAAGATCTCATCCCTAATGTAAACAACCTTAAAGGTATGTAGAAAATCGCCTTAGAACGATGCAGATGAAAGGCTTAAAGAATCTTGCACTGAATTTCTAAGTTTATGGTCGTTAGGTTCTTCTCTTTTTTGGAATTCAGTGGGTGTAGAGTTTATATAAATATTGAGTGTGAAGAGAGGAGTGTATTTTTATTGCTATGACTCTATTTTATCGTATTGTGGAATACCTATTCAAGAGTAGTGTTGGACAAAAAGGTTCATTAGTGTACAGCCGTGGTTCGAACCTACGACCTCAGATGCTCAAGCCATTGTCTATGTGCGGATTTAACACTCACTCGTGCGATGAAGAAAAACATAAATGTAAATAGATGTTATAACAATATAATTCCAAGTTTAGGCGTGCAAAGAGGCAAACGTATACATGCATGCGAGGACGTCGGACCCACAGCATAAGGTTACGTGCTAGTGTAAGAATTATGAAAAAAATTATGCTTCTCAGTTTTACACTGAAACTCAAACTGATAATCTCTTTATTCAAATAGGTGAACAAGTACACTTATGAATCGTCAGAATGAAGTTAAATTAATT